GTGAATAAAATTCTGTCATTTCTGTAGCAATGAAACTCTTTATATACAATGAATATATTGTGTATGTTTTATTTCGCTTCTTAACTTGTGTTTTGTTAAGTATGTATTAATTCTGTCATTTTCATATTTTTAGGGAAACTACTCAAGAACGTTAAATTTAACGGAAATCTCAAGTTTGTATTTTGGATCCTCATTCTTTTACGGTGAATACATGATGAAATCTACAATGTATTCAAAAAAAATAAACATTTTGTGCGTCGTTATGAATATGATTTTTAGTAAAAAGAAAACTCTTTAAGAGCGAAACTAAGGTTTTATGACGTAGTGTTTTATAAAATTTATTATAACAGTGTCTCCAGTTGAATAATGATTTTGTCTTTTATGCTATTCTATGCTAATACGCTAATGAATAAAATATTTCACGTTCCTTTGAAAATTGTGGTTTTTTGCAGTGTAAAAATAATAACCGATGATTTACGGAATTAGTAATTAATTTAAAGTATCCATCTAAAGAGTGTACATGTCCACATTCTTCCTACTGCATATCAACAGCCCATAGAAGCTTGTAACATCACGTAACAAAAGAAGTGGGACTGCTGATGTTCCATTGTAGAAATGATATGCCTTAATCGACACGTTTGGCAGTCGAATTGACGATCGCATTAAGCACCTTTAACGCTATTGCTCTACTTTGCTCTGGGTGTTACGTCCAGCGTAATCGCGTAAGATTTTGCTGGCATTTCCCACAGGCGCCTTTTACGACATCCACGTGACGATATGTTTCTGGATGTTTTATTACACGTTGCCGTTACACCTTTCTACTTACCTCATATTATAAATGTGAAAGTGTGATGCATGTCTGTTATTTAATGTTTAACCGTCGAAGCTGTTTTGGTATTCTTTAGATAATGATGACTTTCATTCTTAAGAAGAATATAGACTATTTTAACGTTTTATATTTTTAATTGGATATTTGCACTCTATTACGCTACTAATTGATGAAAAGGAGCTTAATATACAAAATCTATACACATCAATAAAATTGAAGTGTCTGTTTGTAATGTCAAACTTACACATTTTTACTAAATACATATAAAATAACATACGGTACTTCATAACAAACAAACAATTTTTTAACTTTTGTCTCCCTGTGCCGGCTAATCTCCGAAATAACAAGACTGACTTCGACGGGGGGCGGATATTCACTGGCAGATATCTCATGTTATGAAAAGCTAAGTTGCTTTTTTGAATAATTTGAATTTAGAAAAAGAATTAGGGATCGGTGCGATAAAATTAAAACCTATGAAATCAAATCGCAATAAATTACACGCACACGTATTCATCGGGAACAGGTAGTAAACAATAAATCTGTAAAACTACCAATATCACCATATCACCAGAAACCAACGCGCTTCGTGTTGGAGAGCACCGCGCCGTGAGTACACTGTCATATAATTGTCATCGGTTCTTTGGTATTCTAAAATTGATAAATTTGTATATTCTGAGCGCAGAATTAAAATGTGGAAAATAGCGTAAAAGATACAGGTACTGTAAGGATAGGTTTGGAGAAATTTCACGTGAAAATTTGCACATGAAAAATTATTGCATTTTGGGTTAGCCCACATGACCGCTTTGTGTTGAGCATTCACAGCCAACAACTTTACGACAACTTCAAGTGTAATATTTAAAATTGTTATGCTTTCATTAAATACTTCAGATGCTTTAGACTGCAAGCTATTCAATTACATCTTGAAAATTATGATGCTTGGAGTTAAATGCATCATATTAAATCAACAGTAGTAAGACACACCACTGTAAACAATACGACACGTTGTTTGCCCAAGATCTTGATCTTAGATGCGGCAGCGGCACTTGGGATAGCTACAAGCTCTTATGATAATATTGTTACAATGGAATTCTGAAATAAAAATCTTGCTTTTTCACCGAATTGATAAATTTTTTTGTTGAGAGACAAAAGTAAAAATCCTTAAATATGTAACCAGTGAACCGGTTAAGATCGTTTGTGCAACTCAAATCAAATAAAAAAAATTAATAGACTCTCGAACTGTTTGTCATTGGTGCGTTTCATTTTACGGCAGAATGTAACACAAGTGATGGCCTCTAAACGAAGCACCGTCAGTTGAAAACTACCTTAAGATTACTAATCGTAACTTAACTTAGAGCTCTTTACTGTGTAGAGCTTCACTTCTGTCTGGAGAACTGTCTGAGTGTGTTACTATCCTCTAATCATGGAAGTATAAAGAACTTTATTAATTTAATTCTTTTAACCTTCTTTTAGTGCCAAGCAGTGCATCAATTAACAAATTCCGAATTTAGAATAGAATAGATTTTTTTTTCAATATCGTTTACAAGTATAGTGTACTTTTTAATAGAGAAGACTTAAGTTTTTTGGAAATTTGTTGTGAAAGCGAATCCATTGCCCATACGATTAGACAATCGTTCTTCCTATCATACTCCGATGTAGTGGTAATGACAAGGACACATTCAGAACACATCCAGGCTCGAAAACCGACAATACGTTAGTTTTGGACAAATGGCGAAAATTCAAGCTCACGTATTAATTTGGTATTAGGGACTTTGATCAGTAAGTAATAACGAGTTGAACAATTAATTATTTAATTCTTGTTAATGATAACAATAAGTCCCTTGGAGTCCGACTGCTTCAGTAATTTTATTAGTTGATTCTAATGATTTTTTTTATATAATTATACAAATACTAAATAACGAATAAAATAGATAATTAATAAAACTGCGCGAGAGCAAGCACTCGCATTTCATATATATTCATAATAACATTATCCGAACGACTTGAGTTTGATCCTGGGTGCAATCTCAATTAAAATTTTAATTGGATGTTTATATGTTAACTAACCATGTGCTCTATCCTTGCATGTGTGTAGAGAGTATCCAGATGTTGTTAGCTGTATATTTATTATATACATTTTTTTACTTTTAATAAAAATATTCTTAGTATCGAATTGTGCAGATGGTTGTACTTAGAGTACACTAAAAGCATCCACTATCACAAGTTGTAGTTCGTCATCCGCAGCAAAGACGTAATTCTTTCGAAAAGAATTTTGGGCGACGATTTTATATGATTTTAATCTTCGTACAATTGTGCTGCTCGTCATCAAAATGCTTTGGAGATGTGAGCATCTCTATTGAGCACCGTAAAGCGTTGGTATTGTTGAAATAATTTCGTGAAGGTCGACCGCGCACCATGCAATTTATTTATTTTTCATGAAAACAAAAGTTTGGTGAGAGATTTGATATTTAGGGAGTCGGAAGAGGCCGTAATAGTTTTCAACTGGCACGTGAAAAATATCATCAACTCAGACCTGTTTTAAAAAAAGGGTTAGAATGATTGAAAAAGTTATCAAATATTGGAGCATGATTTGAAAGGCAGTATATACATTAGTTTACATATAAATTGTTTAAAATTATGAGTTACGCAAAATTTTAAGTGTATCTCTCCCACGTGAAGTAATGCTGTGAAAAAAGAAATCCGTGTTTGAAACTTTTACTTTTGAAGATACAGACAGGAATATTAAATATTAAGAGAATTAACAGTTGTTGAATTAAGGAAGTTATTGACAAACAGTATGTGCAAATGCTTATCTTTACTGCAATTCACGAGGACATGGTGCTAAGAATGGACACACTGCGAAAGTTATGGTTACTAGGCTGCGTGTATCTAAATTTGTCAAATGATTAAGCCTCGTTACCAGTTAAAAGGTTCTTCGTTTCTCTTCACTTACTATACGAAACACAGCAGCATTAATTTGCTCTTATATGCTGGTACGAGCAATGAAGCGTGCAATTATTTAACAAAAATTAGTTAATTTTAGCTGAATTATTTAGCACACTTTAAAAATCCATGTACGCCTATTATTTTACATGTTTATAAGGAGAACATTTAGTATAATAGACGAGATAATTATCAAAGAATAACTTTTGGAACATTTAAATTATTCACTTTTAATGGCCACGGTTGCAACTATCTGATTATATTTATGTGAATTACGATTGTAATCATCTCAAGTGATGATATCAGAATCTATAAAACAATTGTCTAGTGATTACCACAGCAAAACGTCGACTATTCGCTTATTGAACGTATACGAGTACCACAAGCCTACAAACACAATATTAATACTAAGTGAGTATTTTAAAATGTACGGTTCTAGAACTATATTTAAATTGTGTCTTGCAATTTTGATATTTTACGAAGCAAAATCTATAGATTTATAGCTAAGCAAAGATGAATACAATTACGTAAGTTTTACAAAAATTTGGCGTTAAACACCATGTTGCAGTCATATTGGGGTATGCTTTTCCTTTTTTCTTGTTATAGCGTTGGGTGACAAACGGGCACACAGTCAACCTGATGGTAAGTGGATGCTGTGACCTATAGACACCCACATTTATCCTCAATTAAGAATCAGAATGAAAATGTGTTGTCACCTCTGAGGACTAAGGTGGAATTTCTCGATTCCAGTTAAAAGTGTCTCCGGTTCTCTACACTCACCATACAAAACACAAGAGCATTACGATATAGCTGCAGCGTGGCTACATATAAAATATTATTAAATATATAGATCAGCGAAGAGGTGCAACGTTAAAACTGCGAAAGTTTTCCCTTCTCCAAAATCCACCAAAGCAAGCATGATAATTACAATTAAGGGAGAGCCCCATACCTGTTAGTAAACTGTTTAAGTACTCACAATAAGGAGAAAAAATAGGACATGGGATAATTTAAATAATACTCATAAATTATGTATATTACTAATCACAGTAATATAATCTTTTATGATCTTACTAATAATATAACACACCTATCATCATTATCATCGTCACCGTTACAGCCCATCACAATTCCATTGCACTGGCCTCTTCCAAAGAACGCCACAGGGCACGGACCTGAGCCACCTGCATCTAACGAATTCTTGTATCTTTTACAAGGCCGTGTTTTTTTACAGGTCCCTTTTGATTTAAAGTTGACTAGTTACGAAGTCTGTAGTGGTCCAAAAGTCACGAACCTTACGTCTTACTCTACAAATATTGTAAAAGAAGGTGACAATTATGTTTGTTGGTTGAATTGCACGGTTTTTGCACAAACACGAATTGATGAAGTAAGTGTGGAAATCAAATGTTATTTTTATATTTTTATTATAATAACGGCGTAACTAAGATTTATTCTTGTCCTAAGATTGAACTAAAGGAATATATAAGGTAGATATTGTGTGTTCTTCAAAGAGAAAGTAAAAATTAAGTATATACAGGAAGTCTTCTTACAAGTGTCTAACAATAATTGTCTCATATGACAATATAACTTCGGACAGTTGACGGTTTCGACCAAAGCGGAAGTCTTTAAAAAATCAGAGCCTCTCAAATGTGTAGATAATATAGCCACAAATTAAGTAAATTAGCCACACCTTTTACACGATACTTGTGTCACATAAAAGGTAGTCAATTTTCGTTAAATGAATTTGGCAGGTACAGCACATACACGCATATTGTTAAAAAACAAGTCTGTCTATTTTTCCACAGCCTGCCTATTTTTCTTACCGTAGTAGTAACAATTGCGTGATATTGTTAATTTTGTTGTCACAGACAAAAATAAAAGTATACACTGCAAAGGATAACCGCACTAGATTGTTATGGAGCTACAAACTGAACAATCCGTGTGAACTTTACGCAAAGGATAACCGCACTAGATTGTTATGGAGCTACAAACTGAATAATCCGTGTGAACATTACGCAAAGGATAATAGCACTAGATTGTTATTTATCTACAAACTGAAAAATCCGTGTGAACATTACGCAAAGGATAACCGCACTATATTGTTATGGAGCTACAAACTGAAAAATCCGTGTAAACTTTACGCAAATGATAACCGCAATAGATTGTTATGGAGCTACAAACTGAACAATCCGTGTGAACATTACGCAAAGGATAACCGTACTAGATTGTTATGGAGCTACAAACTGAATAATCCGTGTGAACATTACGCAAAGGATAACCGCACTAGATTGTTATGGAACTACAAACTGAACAATCCGTGTGAACATTACGCAAAGGATAACCGCACTATAATGTTATGGAGCTACAAACTGAACAATCCGTGTGAACATTACGCAAACGATAACCGCACTAGATTGTTATGGAGCTACAAACTGAACAATCCGTGTAAACATTACGCAAAGGATAACCGCACTAGATTGTTATGGAACTACAAACTGAACAATCCGTGTGAACATTACGCAAAGGATAACCGTACTAGATTGTTATGGAGCTACAAACTGAACAATCCATGTGAACATTACGCTATTGCCAGTGTTATTGAAAATTATTGTAACGCTAAAAATTGTGTTGTAAAACAGGTATGCATTTTGACATGTATATTTAATTTTCAGTATCTCATAAAAAAGGAAGAAAAGAAGTATTTTAAAAATTCATAATTACATATTTTAATGTGCATCATAAGCGCATGGCACGACTACCGAAATTCAAGGACATCGTTCTCGTAAATTTTCATATCTACAGTCGAATAACTAACGACCCACTGTTAAAATGTGGTAATTAACAACCTAGAACCGAATACACTACCACATTAATAACTTGCATTACACGCAAAGTGCGTTACCTTACGGAGCTTAAGCTCATTGAATAAAATCTCGTCATTTCTTTAGCAATGGATATCTTTAAATACATTGATTATACTATGTATGTTTTTGTTTTGCTCCTTAATTTATGTTTTAAATATTAATTTTATCGTTTTGATACTTCTAGAGAAACTACTCATCAATATTAAATTTTACGGAATTGTGATATCTGTTTTTTGGATCCTCATTTTTTAACGGTGAATACAAGATGAAAGTTGTAGTACTATCAAAAAAAGGAAACATCATGTGCCTTGGTATAAACTCTATTTTTACCAAGAAGAAAGCTCTTTGAAGGAAATTATGATGTTGTGTATTTTATAAAATTTATTATAACAATGTTTCCACTTTAAACATGTATTGTCTTTTATTTTGCTGACGGATGAAATACTTGTCGTTTCATTGGAAATTGTATTTTTATTTATTGCTATGTAAAAATAGTAATCTGTGATGAACGGAATTAGTTATTTAAAGTATTCATCTAAAGCACTCTTTACATGTCCACATCCTTCCAACTTCAAATCAACAGCCCTTTAAAAGCTTGTAAAATCAGGTAAAAAAGAATTTTAACTACTGATGTTCTATTCCAGAATGGATTTCCCTTAATTAGCACGTTTTACAGGTGAATGTGACGATAACATCAAGCACCTATTGACGATCGCATCAAGCACCTTTAAAGCAATTTCTCTACGCCGGTCTGGGTATTTTACGTCCGGCGTAAGCTTTTTTTGCGCCCGAAGCAATTCGGTAACGGTAGAGGGAGGTGGAGAGTGCTCATAGCATGCCACGTAGCCCAGTGGAGACTTTTATTCACTAAACTCCACCTTTAGGGATTGGCTTACTGATCTGACAAGAGTCTTTAAGCCGTAAGCGGACGCGACCCTCTTTGGCAGAAAGGGCAAGCGGCGAAAGGCCGCTCAGAACTGTGCCTAACTAACTAAGGCAGATTAAGCTATAGCGAGTGTGAAGAGGAGAGGAGCTGTCTCACGAATGGGGCGATTTGAGTGGGATTCTGAGGCTTTGAAAAATCTCTCAGAGAGTGTTTTGAGAAACTTTTGAATTTTTGGGAGCTCTCGGTGGAGGTCGGCATTACGGACATAATAGGGCGAGTTCGTGGCCCTACGACAGAAGAGATTTTGAACTATTTGAAGTTCATTCATAATATTGGGTTTGGCATGTGCGAAAATGGGGGGCGCGTAGGTCATAACGGGTCGTATACAGACCTTATATATGGTTCTTTCAATATATTCTTCTCAGTGTATTTGCTGACGGTACGTTTGATCGTACCAAATTTTGATTATACCAAAAGATCTACAGCAAATCCTGTTTGAGAATATTCTAACCATCATTAATACTAATTTCACACCCAAGCAAGTTGGATTTAGCGAGCGCCACAATTTCTATGCCGCTACTCATCAGCTCTCCGAGTCTCCGTCGTAGTGGGCCGCTAGACTGCATGGTCTAACCGCTCACTGCCTAATTTCCAATGTGGAGGAAGCACTAAGGGACCGGTTTTTATAGGGATACTGCCAGTAGAGGGAGATGAAAAATTATACATGCATGATATTTTGGATACTACACTAGCAAAAGCTGTGGAGTTAGTGGAGAACATACGAAGCACGCGGTCGGTTGCCGCCAGCACCACCACCACCGTCGTCCCGTGGTGACCTTGGTGGTGAAATTTCCTATAAAATTGGTGACCTAGTATACACTAAGTCACCAATTTCAATACAAAACATCATCACCGGCTCCGTAAGGCTCTATCACTATAAGTAAGGGTTTACATAAAATAATAAAAATACGTAACAAACATAAAGTAACTTTACAAATAGGTCGTAAACAAGTTAAGAAGTATCATACAAATTAAATTAAGCCTGCTATTCAAACTCCTTAAATTTAACTTATTTTGTATATTTTTCAGAGCTTTATGCTATGGAAACCAAAACCACACTGAATCGAGGATCATACCTATATCACATAGATCATTGGAAGGTTATTACACATATAAAACTTAAATCTTTAGATCCTTATCTCAATAAAATTGAAAATTTATTATATGATACTTTAAATTTTTGTTCCAACATAAATACTGAAGAATTTTCCCAATGTAAAGATTTTTCAACTCCTATAGAGATGTTAATAAAATATAGTTATGTCAAATTGCAATCCCTAGCACATTTAATTAATAATAATCAATCTCCAAATAAAGTTAAAAGATCTCCAGAATTTGGACGCGAAATTCTTAAATTTTTCTTTGGTATTCTAGACGCAGATGATGCGCGAAAATATGATACCGCGATAGAATCCTGTCGGAAAAATGAAATGGAATTACTTAATTTATTTAGAGATAATATTCACATAATTAAATCTACCATAAATAATTTTAATGCCATTATTTATAAATTAAACCAAAATGAATTAAAATTGAATTCGCATATAAAAAAATCTTCATACAAGACTGGTAACACTTCTTCACATTTCTAGGATAAATAATTTACTAAACAAATAAGCTCCTTACTTGCTATTTCTAACTTCTTACACTACTATAATCTAATTTCCAAGGTAAACATCCTAGCACAATTAGTCCTAAGTCTTTATATTAATTTCAAAGCATATTTTACTGCAAGCACATTTACCTGGGACAAATAGTCCGACTAGGTGAGTTCAACTTCGACCGAGAGGTCAATTGACGGATTCAACTCGGTTGGGCAGCGTTCGGGTAATTACGACACATCTTCTCGTCAGGTGTACCTCAAACTCTGAAAACTAGATTTTACAACCAGTGCGTGTTGCCAGTGATGATTTACGGATCTGAGACGTGGTACTTCACTGCTGGCCATATGAGGACGCTCAAGGTCACTCCTCACCCGCTCAAGGTTTCCCTGCGTGATAGACTCAGAAATGAGGATATCCGCAGTAAAACCAGATTGACCGACATAGCCCAACGGATTAGTAAGCTGAAGTGGCAATGGGCGCGGCCATATAGCTCGAAGAACCGATAACCGATGGGGAAGAAAGGTTCAATATTATTCAATATTATTTTCTAAATAAATAAAACTGAATACCTACCGAAGATGTTCAGCTCCAATTATTATTTTTACAATTTAAGAATCGTATTTACACAATATACCTACTCAGATTGATTTTTATAGATATAGGTAATAAATGCTCCGCTTGAGCGTAAAAACTATTTATTAAAATAAAACTAATAGTTGAAAAAAAAATGGCTCAGTGCGAGTCGAACTCACAGGCCTATGAAGAGTTCTGTAGTATACTAATAATAATAATAATAATAATAATAATAATTTATGGCGTAGGGAATTGACGACCCCATCGCCCGCTGACGTAACAGTTAAGTGACAAAACTGCTACGTCAACGCAGTCAGTCAGCGCCTTGCGAGAGGTGTGAGCGCCGTGCCTCGGCAGAATTCAGGGTGCAAAGGCCCGTTTGTGCTTATGGCCGTCCACGATACGGTGCCGGGCCTGGTCGTCTCCCGTTAATGGACGCCCATATTATGGATGATGGAGAAAAAGATAGTGCGCAAAGGGCCGCTGCCTGGAGGTCGCCAGGGCGCGTCTGGAGCTGGCGCTGGACGCGACAGCATGCGGGCCGCCAGCCGAGCGCGGGGTGTTGCAAGACCACCTAGCAGCCCCCCGCATCCATCATCCCCACCAGAAGGCTTGGTGTCGGCTGGGTCTTCTCGGACACAGCAAGCGGCACCCGCCGCTGGTGGAGCACGTCGCATGCGTTGGTCTAAATCAATGAATGAAAACGCACTGCGGGCGTATTTTAGGGCAAAAGGGGAAGAAACTGGATGTTTGGCGTATCGGGCTCGGATGCATCGCTTTTTTGCTGAGCTGGAGCCATCTCTATCCGTCACTGAGCAAAACCTGGCAGACCGAGTTAGGTACATCCTGCGCTCCAACATATTTGGTGACGCCGAACTCGAGCGACTACGACGGCTGGGAATGCGGCGCCACTAGATGCGCAACAAACTGCATATCGCCTCTTTACAAGAACAACGTGACATCTCATAAAAACGTATTTTTTATTATTTGATATTCAAAACCGCGATGTCGAATTTTATTATCTACAAAAACGCGGCATTTTAAAAGCAAATGTTCGAGGAGCTATTAGTGAAAGAGACGACACGACCGTGGCAAATGGCGTTATCACGTTGTCTCTTTCGGTGTGGCGCACGACTTGGACAACGCGACGCGTTAGTTTGCCCCGCACGCGGAACGAGTGAAGTGCTCCTGCTTTTCACAAAAAACGAGTCCTCACGAGTATACCACGTTTTTAGTGCAAAGGTATGTTTCTTGTTGTTATTTACTTTAACTTGAATAACGTGATAGTACTAATTTAACTCGTTTTTGTTGTACAACTCGTGAGTATTTAGAATGAGATAATGAATATCGACACATTATTGATGAAAAAGTTACAAGTTTTCTTTGTGATATCTTTGAATGTAACCATGTTGTTGATGAATCGTTGTCAAATACTATGGGTTATTTTATTTTACATCATTATTTTTGAAAACCTTTAAGTTTGGGTTTATATTATGCTAAAATGTTACATTATACATGCTAAAATAAAGTAACTTTTACGAATTTGTTTTTCAGATGGCTTCACGATCTAGGATGTTAGTTCAATTAGCTACAGGTGTTAAAAATAATTTAAGTGTTTGTATTTTAACACAAGACGAGATTGAAAATGCCAAAAGTTCGACCAATACATTGCAGACATCAAAAGAAGGTATTTTATTACTTGTACTGATATTTTTTTTTTAGTTATGTTCCTATAATTTCATTATTTCAATTCTCTTTGTAGACAAAGACATCGCATTAAATTCCATCCGACCTCCTAGTAATTCGACTAGTAGCAGCGGTTCCTCTAGTTATAGCAGTTCTTCGAGTTCTAGCAGTTCTTCAAGCAGTGGCCCATCTATGTATCAATGTAAGTTAATTTATATCCCACTAGTCTCACAAAATTCGAGGGTAATTGATAAAGTCAATACCACACCACTACATTTCAAGAAATTGATTACATTTATAAGGTTTCAGACAGCGACGACTCGGTAAAGGATCCTGATTATGAAGCCCAACCAACAAAACATGCTGAGTATTCTTCTGATACTGCCGAGGAACAAAATATCACTACCAACGATACAAATATTTCGGATGATCATAATTTGGTAACATCTAATATGGTTTCAATAAACATTGAAAACTACGAGGAACCACTTTCGTCTACAAACGAACATGCTATGGTATTCAACGATCCCGGTGTCATAGAGAACAGTGAACTTTCTGCGATTGAAAACGTAAGCAACGAAAATGCTGCAGGTACAATAGTATATAATTCTAGTCCAACTAAAACTGGTAAAAAAAGAAGACTAAATGAAGCAAACTGGAAAGTTAATGTAGCTAAACGACTGAGAAATAGTGGTAAGCCTTATCAATCTACCAAATCAAAAAGAAACATGCCAAGTCGTGAATTGAAACCTTCTTGTAAAGATAAATGTAAATTTAAATGTGGGTTTAAATTTACAGAGGAGCAAAGACAGACAATTTTAAATGACTATTGGAGCTTAGGTGCAATAGAAAAACAATGGACGTTTATTGCTAATAACGTAGACATAATCATCCCAAAACAACGTTACGTTAAAGTTGATTCTGATGGAAATGTTGCAACTATTAGAAACAACAACAACGCTTTCTTTTTGACTATTTCGGGTGAAAAAACAAGAGTTTGTAAATTGTTTTTCAAAAATACTTTGGGGATTAATAATCGACCCATAGAGACTGCTTTGAAAAAGAAAAATAGCAACACTAATATTTCTTCCATGAAAGATAACCGAGGTACTCATTCAAACCATTATGCAGTGGACGAAAGCATTAAAAATGGCATCAAATTGTTTATTGAGTCTGTACCAAAGATTGAGTCACATTATATCCGGGCTAACTCAAAACGAAATTATATTGATGGTAGTAAAGCTGTCACAGATCTTCATAGAGATTATGTGGAAAAATGCAAATCCCAAAACGTCCCATATGGAACCTACATTACATTTTATCGTATTTTCACACAAGATTTTAACATGTCGTTTTTCACTCCTAAAAAGGATTTATGCGATATATGCGAAGCCTATAAAAACATCACAGATGAAGAGAAAGAATTTAAGAAACAAGATTATGAATTACACCGGAAAAGAATTTGTCTCGTATTGAAAAAGAAAAAGATAAGAACAACAAAAATATTTTATTAGCGGTCTATGATCTTCAAGCAGTGTTTCAATGCCCCAAAGGAGACGTCTCAGTTTTTTAATATAAGTCAAAAATAAATGTACATAATTTAACAATTTATAACTTACAAAATAATTCAGTTGAGAGTTATGTATGGGATGAGTCTAACGCAAATAGAGGTGTCAACGAAATAGCTACCTGTGTTTACAAATACCTGGAGAAAATTTCTGTTGTGTTTGCTGAAGACCTCGATGTAGTCTTTTATTCGGACAATTGTGCCGGACAGCAAAAAAATTAGTTTATGATCTCAATGTACACTTACGCAGTCAAAACTCTGCCAAATCTCAGACCAATTACACACAAATACCTCGTTAAAGGACATACGCAGAACGAGGGCGATTCTGCTCACTCTCAAATAGAGAGAGAAGTTAAAAGGCAACTGAGATCAGGACCAATGTATACACCTGACGCTTTTATCGGGGCTATAAAGGCGGCACGGAAAAAAAGCGAGCCATTTCATGTCAATGAAATGTGTTTCGATGATTTTTTTGATTGGAAAAGTATATGCACTCAAATGAACTTTGCGATAATGAAAGATGAAGACAATAATACTGTGAAACTGGCTGGACTCAAGATAATTAAAGTTCAAAGCTCTGATCCCGATGCCATATTTTTCAAAGAATCATACGCTGACGAATTATTCAAGAAAGCTATAGTGGTGAAAAAAAATAGAAATCGTAATAGCCAAAGCATTCATTTAGATTTGCAAAAGGCCTATCTTCAAAAACCTGGACTAGCAGAGAGAAAAAAAGCTGATCTCATGGATTTGGTCAATAAAAACCTCATTCCTAGATACCACAAGCCATTTTACGAATCGTTGTAATAAGACTGATTAAGTACAAAGATTTTTTGAATTGTATTTTTTAGAAATATTTAATTGCTACATTTAAAATGATAGTATTTTTATTAGTATTAAGAGAATTTGTGATTCTATGTTTATGAAGGGTGATAGCAATGTTCCTATTTTGAATTACTATAAAACTGTGTGCCATAATTGTGTTAGAAGACGTTAATTACTATAACTTTAAGTACAGTTAACTTTTTTATTTCTTAATGATTTCTTAAATTTACGCGAACACTACACATTGAATAAAACTATTATTTACGGATTTTATCGCGTTTAATTACTTTAATTTATTTTTATTATTATCCCGACGTTTCGGGTGCTTTACAGCGCCCATGGTCACCGGGAGGGAGGGAGGGACCACACAGGGAGGGACCATGGGCGCTGTAAATTCTTTATTTGTATGAAAGTAATTTTTTAGTTACCTTTAATTTTAATTAAAGCGAGTACTAAGTACTATGTGATTGATTGATCTCTTATTGATTATTGTGCCTTAAACTAATTTCTTGGTGTAAGTAAGCCATTGTTTTCGTAAATTTGTATTTTTTAAATACAAGATCTTTATTTTGATACTGTGTTTTATTTAACTTATCACACAACCTTACACCTAAATTTAACATTTTCAATGTGATACATCAATATGTTACAAGCATTTTGTTACAAATTTTCATCAAAAACGTGACATGTTTGCCTGTGTTTTTTTAAATCAGTTTTTTTACTTATTTCTTATTGCACTGAGTTTTTTTTGCTTATTTTCAGAAAGCACATTAATTACCGCAACAATTTAATTGTTTTCCGATTGAATAATAATCAATATTTTAGAAGTTATCAACGCTTAAATGTTTAAAATTGCTCTCCTGTAAAGTTGTGGTTTAAAAAATATCACGTTGTTCTTGTAAAGAGGCGATATGTGGATGCTGCCGTCAACATTCCATTTGTGGCTAATTCAGACGATGATGGAATAGTCTCCCACGAACTAGAGAAAATGAGGAGCATATTGGAAGAGGCGATGCTGGAAACGCGCAGCATGCCTCTCGAAAATCGACCGCGAATTCCCCGCGTACCCCTTAGCAAGCGAAATCGGGCTGTCGTGCGGGAACCCAATGCTGGTGACCTATTTGGAAGCCAGCCGGGACCTTTGCGAGACGGATTCAATTCTTTTTGGCGCCGCACTGGCAGTATGCCGTATTATTGGCGCCAAACTTCCCGTGGCTGGACGTGCTACTCAAAAAAGTAGCGCCATCCCAGCCTGGAGAAAAAGAATTGAGGACCGTATCGCAAAGGCAAGGGCCCTTATCGGCAGACTGACAAGCTTCAGGTCGGGTAATAATAGACCGAGGATTATGCGCACCGTTAGGATGGCGTTTGCTGGGACAAATATCAGTTTGTTCCAGCCGGATATCACGCAAAAACTAACGGAGCGCATAGATGACCTGAAGCAAAAAATCGCTGCTTGGGGGAAGCGGATTCGACGATTTAGCGAGAGGTTAAGGCGGTTCAACCAGAATCGTCTCTTCCAGAGTGATCAGAAGATGCGACCATTGGAGCGACCAGAGGTATGTGGAGCGGGCCCAGGACCGGATCAGGCTGACACTGTCGCATTTTGGCGTGGCATGTGTTCAGAGCCCGTAAACCACAGCGAGGGCCCTTGGATGGAAGTTGTGGCGAGCTAGAGTGCAAGTGTTACGCCTATGGACTCCGTCACCATAACGCCTGAAGACGTAGCTGAGGCGGTCCGTAGGGCCCCGAACTGGAAAAGTTCGGGGCTCGATGGGCTGCATCATTACTGGCTGAAGGGGTTCGTAGTGTGTCACGCTGTGCTCGCCCGACGGTTTCAAGAGGCTCTCGATCAGAAGTCGCTCCCGAGCCTCTTCACTACTGGGATCACTCATTTGGTTCCTAAAGATCAGGATACCACAGACCCGAGCAAATACCGCCCCATCACGTGTCTACCCACCATATATAAGACACTGACATCCATTTTGAGTGCGAGAATAACTCGTCACCTGGAGCTGAATCAGGTGATGTCACGCGCTCAAAATGGATGCCGGGGCGGTGGTCGTGGCACCAAGGAACCACTCCTCATTGACGCGGTCATTGGCAAAGTGGTGAAACGCAACCGTCGGAATTTCTCCGCCGCCTGGATAGACTACAGAAAGGCATTAGACTCGGTGCCCCATACATGGCTAAAGAGAGTCCTCCAGCTGTACAAAATTTACTGTACAGTTGGAGACTTCCTCGAGCAGTGTATGGGGCAATGGAGTACGATCCTTTGCTATCTGGGCGAGCGGATGATGGCTGCGGAGAACCACATAAGGATAAGAAGGGGTATCTTCCAGGGCGATTGTCTGAGTCCAATCTGGTTTTGCCTCTCCCTGAACCCTCTCAGTACCTTACTGGAGGGCTCCGGGAGGGGATTTCAGCTTCGGAAAGGAGGTACAAAAGTGACCCACCTTTTCTATATGGATGACCTCAAGTTATTCGCCTCCAGTCGCTCCCATCTTATGGAATTGCTAAACATCACTTGTGAATTTAGCAATTCTATTGGAATGGAGCTGGGAACGGATAAGTGTGCGGTCCTCCATGTTGAAAGGGGGAGGGTTGCTAACTCTGAGGACATAGACTTATCTATGCCCGTCAACTTAAGGACCATTTCCGAGGCTGAAACATACCGATACCTGGGTATGTCACAGAACATCGGTATCGATGAGGCTGGTATGAAACAGTCAGTTTGCGACGTGTTTTATGCACGCTTGACCAAAGTGCTTAACAGCCTTTTGTCCGGTGTGAATAAGACACACGCATATAACGGCTGGGTCATGCCTGTCCTCATGTACACCTTTGGCATACTCAGGTGGACTCAGACTGAACTTAACGCCCTGGATAGAAAAGTCCGCACTACCATGACTTCCCACAGGATGCATCATCCGAGATCGTCGGTAATGAGGCTGTACTTGCCGCGAAAGCATGGTGGGCGTGGCTTCTTGAGCGCGCTCACCATGCATAATCGCGAAGTGTGCAGCCTCCGTAATTACTTCCTGGCGAGATCGGATGATCCATTCTATAAGGACGTCATTTCTAGTGATAAAGGACTTACCCCTCTATCCTTAGCCAACGAGCAATGGCAAGACCCGGCAGTGCAGAGAATTTCCGACCGGGAGAACGTATGGAAGGAGAAGGAGCTCCACGGGAGGTTCTACAAGGCTCTACATGAGCCTTTCGTAGACACAGTAGCCTCCCTCCACTGGCTACGCTTTGGTGATCTCTTCGGGGGAAACCGAGGGTTTTGTCTGTGCAATACAGGATCAGGTTATTAAGACCAACAACTATCGTAGATACATCCTAAAGGATGGCACCGTGGACATCTGTCGAGCTTGTCGCCATCCCGGTGAGTCACTTAGGCATGTCATCTCCGGTTGTTCGGCGCTTTCTAACTCTGAGTACTTGCACAGGCACAACCTAGTAGCCAGAATTCTTACACCAGGAAGCTCGCTCTGAAATACGGTCTCGTGGATCGGAAATTGCCGTATTACAAGTACTTGCCGGAAGCCGTGCTCGAAAATGATCGCGCCAGGCTCTATTGGGACCGGGCCATCATCACAGACAGGACTATTCTTGCGAATAAGCCTGATATTGTGCTGATGGACCGGGCACAGTCAAGGATATTTTTGGTCGACATTACCATTCCGTATGACGAGAACCTCGTGAAAGCCGAAACAGACAAGCAAACAAAATATCTGGACCTGGCTCACGAGGTGACTGACATGTGGGGTGGTCTGCCGACCGAAATTATTCCTGTAGTCGTCTCTGCAAACGGGCTAATCCCAGTCAGCCTCTCGGGTCATCTGAGGCGACTGGGACTACGTGGCGGACCGCTCCGGGCTCAAATGCAGAAGGCGGTGCTCCTCGATACCGCCCGCATCGTCCGCCGGTTTCTTTCCCTTTCCCCCTAACCCTCGGTCGTTTGGTCTCCCCTGCCGAGGGCCTCCATCTGGTTGGGCTTTTATTTATTTATGTACTTTTATATTTATTTTATGTTATTGATATTTATGTATATTTATCTTTTCATTTTCATTTATAATTATATATTTATAGCACCCAACCAAATGAGAAAACTATATAGATACCCCACAATAATAATTTCTTTATTTGCTTAAAACATGGTGTTTGTAGGTGGTGCATTAAAATAAGTTAACATGATTTGTTTATAATTAGCATGCAAATTTAAGTTTATGTTCAGGTAACATTTATTTCATATGGGTCAAATATATTCATTAAAATCAATGTCAACAAATTAATAATTATTAAAGCTTAATGTCAATAAATTCTTCAATGTCATACACTTTAAGTTCAATAAGCCACTTATAGAGTCTCGATTTGAATAAATTCATTTTAAGGTTTTTGATGTCATTGGGGATCTTATTATACGAGTACACCTTAACAAACATTGCTAAACAACTTTTTCTGAATTTAGCAGTTCTTGGGATGACGCTTAACACTAATCGCTCCGGATTTCTTTTCCATCGAGAGTTTATATTTCTGGCTTTCGGAAAGAGTTCAGTATGGCGTTTTACAAAACAACTCGTTTAAAAGATGTACAGTGCTGGCAAAGGCAGTAAGCCCAAGCTCCAAAACGATGCTCTACAGGACTCGCCCGGTGGAATCCCATATATGGCTCTGATGCATTTTTTTTGCGCTATAAATACCCTTTGTCTCTCAGTACTATTGCCCCATATCATCACCCCATAATGTAGAATGGAGGCTACATACGCGTGGTAAGTAGTAATGGCTGTTTGCAACTTAGTTACGCTCCTTGTTTTATAAAGAGCATAAACAAAGCTGTTAATACGCTCGCATAATGCCTCAATGTGTAATTTCCAGTTAAGATCTTAGTCTATCGTTATACCTAAAAACTTAGTATGTGTAATTTCTTTAATCTTTTCAATATCAATGTTAAAACTGTATTTATCATATTTGGA